AACTTTCTTAAGTTATAATACATTAATAAATGGTTCATTAATAAAAAAGGGGCCTCACCTTTCCATGTAGCGCGCGTCCAAGATAAACGTGCGTTTCATCATTTTATTTTGCTGTCAGCGCTGCTCTCCTCAGCCAACGTTTTTTTTGTGGAGCTAGAACACTCTCAAAAACAATAAATATACAAACAAGGATTCACAAATGTACTCACAAATTCACAAAATGTCGAGTGGAATACCTGAACTGCGGTGTGCCTCGCAATCTTGTTGAGCCGTGTTCTGTTCAGGAATGTGATTCCACAGTTTACAGGTCCAACTGTCTGATTCCTGCCGGCAGATCCCGCAGGAATCAGACTCGGCTGACAGGAATTCAGACATGGTTCGTGGATCGGAATTCTTTGCAAGTTAAGTCGGATTGGTCAGATCCGCTAATTACGTTGGGATCGGCTGCCGATACCGATACTGGATTAGATCAGCCCTATCCCTTATTGTCAGCATTCATGTTAGTTAAATTAGGTACAAACACATTCATAATGAATGCAAAGTGCAGAAAATTCTCATTCTTTGAGAATGAGAATTTTCTTTGTTTTTTAGCACCAGAGTTGTGTATTTCAATAACAGTAGCATTGAGTAGAAAGGCATTTATTTGAGCTTAAGCGAAAAATAACAACTGATTTACTCAGAGATGTTGTTGTAAGAAGATGCTGCTGTGTTCTCTCCAGGACGACCCACCACTCAGCGCTGCCAGTGAAACGCTTGTGGCAGTTTCTGGTCAAGCAGGAAGAAGTACAAGAGACTTTTATACGAAACATCTTCACAAAGAAAAACGATCCAAATGAGGTAAGTGGTGCATGCACCACACCTGCATGAAGTCTTTACAGTATGTATTGCACAGCAAAGACGTTGCTACAGTTGTCACTAAATAACCAATTAACTCCTTTATCATAATTAAAATCAACAACACATCCCTGTTGCTTTCCCAGCTCTGTTAGCTCAGATTTGTTTCCTGTTGCATGCCAACATTGTGTCCTGAAATGCTTCCTTTAGTTGCATGACGATGCTTTAATTTGTACACAACTAATTACAGTGTGTTTGATTAACATGACATTAATTGTCTTTTGTTTGTGTGTTTGCATGGTTTACCACCTGTTGTTGTTGTTGTTGTGGCGTATGTGGGTGTGTTTGCGTGTGCGTATGTGTGTGTCTGCTCAATGCACACCATTAAAGTTGATTGAGGACCAGACTGACAATATGAAATATTCAGGGACGGACAAGGCAGAACTCACTAAGGTATTGTGTCTTTAGATGAATTATTGATTATGATGTAGAAGTGCTGATGCTGATTTCAGCCTCAGTCCATTTTATGTTACTGCTCCTTGGAAACAACCATTTGCTATATTTGTTTTATTTTATTCTTAAATTCATTAACAGAGTTTAAGCCATATGTTTATGACTTATAAGAAAAAAATAATTTCACATTGTGAAACTGGGAGAGTTAGTCACATCTCCCAGCACAAAAATCAGTGAAGAACCACACAATATATACTGTTTATAAATATACCACTATGTACTTTTTAAAAAAAAAAAACAATCAAAGTTATTTGTATTTCCAGCCTCCACCCTGCATGACTAAATGGCACCATTTGATCTAAGAGTTTCTAGCATGTGACGTAACATTAGAAATGTTTTCATCATTTCAGCAACAGCCCTTTGACTTTATGAGACACTGAGTCAGACAGTAACACACTGCAGAGATTGTAGAATGTCTGTGTTGGAACATGCACAGTCCCATAACATTAAACCTAGGGAGTGGACAGATCACATGAACCAGGTCATGAACTATAAATGTCCGTGTCAGGGTTTGATATTGATCTTGCATTTAGCACTCTAAATATTCATGCGTGCGAGCCATGGTTCTTAAATTAAACCCTACACTAATGCTCCATAGAAGCTTCTGATCTGCTGGCTCTTGTTTTGCGAGCTGCCACGTTATAGCTACTCTATTTAACTCTTGTGTTAATTAACCTACTTGCTCAGAGGACAAGCCATGAAGTTGAATAGCTTCGGATTAATGGTCCAGACCATGTCACAGTGAATCTGAATTCTGCAGGGATTACGAGTGCTGTAAAAATGGCAAACCGCCATATTGCAATATTTGCAAGTCAAGTTTAGCTTCATTCCATTTGACAGTAAAAAATACAGTCTTTTCTACTTCAATGACAGCAGTAAGGACTTTAATTCACACTCATGCTAACATGAAAAGTCTGTCGGCTTTGGTCTTAGCCATCGTGGTAGAAGTCAAATCAAAATGAAGCTTTCATAAAGGCGGCCGTGGACTTTGCTTCTGCCTTCATTCCATAGGACCTACAGTATATATGGTATGCAGTGTTTACATGCACATGGCTCAAGGGCTGCACACAGACACTAATGGTCCTGACAAAGGTACTGTACATGAGCTGCTCTGGTTGTCTCACTTGTCCTGTCTAATAATGCACAAACAAACAAAGACACACAGAGATGTTGTATGTACATAACACACAGTACAGAAACTGAAGAGAGTGAGCCCAGGCTCTTCGTCTGATCACGTTTGTGTTTTCTTACACACTTAATTACTCGGCCACTCTCATAGGTCTCAGTGGGTCATCGGTGCTGTAGCATGAAGTGAAAGAATTTTGATAACCTCTGTCTGCAGAAAATGTTTGGAAATGTATTTGTTTTATATATATATATATATATATCTGTGTGTGTGTGTGTGTGTGTGTGTGTGTATATAGACTGGCTCTGATCTAGGCAGCCCTGTAGGAAAGGCACGCATTATACACAAGGAGTCTGACATCATCACTGCCTTTGCCATCAACAAGGTACCGTTCTTCAACTCAGTTCTACTAAACAACAATGTGCACGAAAACATGGGAATTTATTTTATTTTATAACCTGTAATAATAGACAAACATTTACTCATTCTCTCTAGTACATAACACCAGAACTTACATAACACCCCTCCCCTCCTAAATTTATAACTGATATAATGGCGTGGCATTGTTTGAATAAGATGCTGAGAACAAGATTGCGGTCAGACGTCTGTGGTATGACTCATATGTTCCACCACATTTCAAAGGATGTGTCTAAACACTGCACCGCTGAACATCAGTAAAGTAGAGTTAACGCGTTGATGTGTTCAGCAAAATAAAGTAAGAAATGGAAAGAAATAGTCTTAAATAGCATTTAACAGTGCTGCTTGTTGAGCACTTCAGTGCTGCTAAGTTGTATAAGAGGGATGATGGGTATGATAAATTACCATCAGTTCCATCACCAATGGGATGTGATTTGGTAGTTTTATACATTTAAATGCATTTTTGCACCTATTGTTTATTGCGTTTCATGTTTTTATTTATGTCAAGTGTTTTATCTTATGTCAACAATATCTAAAAGTTCACCATTTAATAATGGTAATAATGGAGTCATTTTTTTTCTATTCTGTCCTATTATTCTAATTTTAAGGCAAAGTTCTCTGAATCTCACAAATGGTTACACATGAAAGTTTGACATGCTCACATCCTCTTAAATCTGAAGGCACTTGTGTGTTACCATGAAGAGAGGAGCAGTGGTGGCTTAGTGGTTAAGGAAGGTGCTCTGAGCATGGCACCATCCCCACAAAGTCCATTCCTTCAAGAGAGACTAATACAGCTACTGTTTAGTGTTGTTAAATCACTGTCATAGCACAGGAGTGGCCAACCAGTCAAGAGGCTTGTGTTACTGCCAAGAGCCACATGATATAGAGCACAGTATAGGTTTTCCCTAAGTTATAGGCGTCAGCTCACATCGGCATGTGATTCACATAATGTAAAAAAAAAACACAAATATAAAATTCCACATGAAAGTAAAATTTGCATGATTTGCAAAGTGCCGCATGTGGCTCCTGAGCCGCAGGTTGGCCATCCCTGTTCTTGCAGCTCATTCTGAAAGATCTAGCAGCTGCAATATCGGGCGGATGTCAGTTGGACATGTAAAAGAGCCCAAACATATGCACCGGTCACAAACTTGTGATTGCAAATACAGTTGGTCGAATGTTGTCAGTGTAGAAAGTACAGTATTAATAGTAGTAGTGTTTTCATGTAACCTTGACATGTTGTGTTTCAGTCATAAGATAATGATATCGTTAACATCACACATGAACTGTTTTTCCATCCTAGCTAGTTACAAATACTGTAGCTCAATTGGATAATCTGTGTCAGTCCGATATTGGTCAAAATGTCAGGACTTCACTACAATCTATCTGATCTGATACCTAAGCCAAATGCTGAATTAAAAGATTTTATATAGATACACACACCTTTTTTTATTATTGTACTTCTTACACCCCTGAGTCTAATTTGTACAACACAGGATGCTTCTTAATTTCCCCATTTTGTAAATCTCTAGCATCACTGTGTAACACCTGAACAACAGCTCAGGAGCCTGGTAATCTCCAGAGGATTTGTCAGAGAATGATAACCACACATTTGGTTTCAGCCAAGCTGTGGAATTATAGCAGCACTTCTGATATTGATGCGTGATTTACCCCAAAAATCAAAGAATATATGTGGATTGTATATGTGTAGATAGTGGCAGGGTTAAAATACATTTTTACCAACTGGACTGTGTGTCATTGATTGGATTCACACGTACATCATTTAAATTCACAATACATATCAAATTGTTCAAGGCATTGCCTCCTCGTCTCATTCCCCAGTCAGTAGCTGCTTTGATGTCATGTTTTTGTTGTTTTAATATGAAACAGATTTTTTTTACTCAACATAGTTGTTTTTTTTTTTGTTCGTTAGAAAATGAGGCTCGTCTTTTCATTGCTAATCAAGGACATGCGTCCCTTGGATCGTCAATAAAAGCAAAAACTTGTTTGATGTTTTTGTGATGTAGGGTGAAGTCTGCTGAAAATATGCAATCTTTTCCCCTTGTGAATCTTCTAACTTCCAAAGTTATTTTCTTATATGTCAAGTTTGTCCTTCCAGTAAATCAAAAACTTACCCTTTGACCAAATCTTGTCTTTCTCCCAGGCAAACAGAAATTGTTTGGTCATGGCCTCCACCCATGACATTCAGGAGCTGGATGTGTCGTCCATCTTGTCCACACAGGTCTTTGCGTGGATAGATGATGACGAAGCTGACGTCAAAGGGTAAGAGTATCTATGTGGGTTCTTGGCATAGCTACACTTGCTATGGATGTTAATATGCGTAGCTGTTGAGTGAGAGGTTCAACATTTAATTTGGAGAAAGAATTACAGTCTGATTAGAGTTAGGGTAAGGATGAAGGACAAAACATTATCAGTGTGATGTGTGTATGTTTTGGTGTGTGTGTTTGTATATATATGCTGTACTTCAGTCCGTCAGCTTGTCAATAAACTGAAAATGACCATTCACTTTGAAACAAATGGAGCTGAACAGTGTGAGCCTGGTATATTTATTTATATTTAATTTCTATATATATTATATATATATATATGATATTTATATTATATATATAAAATATATATTATATATAATATATATATTATATTTCTATATAATATGAAAATAATATATATATATTTATTGACGTTATAGAAAAACTGTACAAATGTGTAGACACCTCAGTATATTATGATTTGGAACATCAAATTCTGTCTTGTGCAAAATATAGTACCTTATCTTTAATTTTGTATATTAGCGTTCAGGGTGACCGGAAGTCTACTTTTGACACCGTAACTTGGAAGAGTTTTTTGTAAACAGACCATCCACACTAGAGCCTTGGACTTTATGACTCAGATGGATTTCTAAGTCTGATTTTTAAACCCATAGGGTCGGAGGCGATGACTTCCTGGTGGTCCGTGCACATGATGACTCTGCCAATGTCCATGGCACTACACCGTACACCCACAGTAGCCTCGGTACACCCATCAACGTGCCCTGGCTGGGAGGTCTGCAGACGGGCCGGGGTGCATCTACGGTAAGAAAAGTGATTGACATTTAAATTAAATCATTAAATCTGGTTTAGAGATAAAAACAAAGACAAAATGTAAATGCAATATATTTACTCTCTGAATTACTGTCAGCAGTGTGTTTATTTAATTGTAATATAAAAACCAACATCTGCACACGTTCCATTTTTGTTTTACATACTGATCATATAACCTGTTAAGAGCAAAAATGTCCAAAGATGACATGGCTGAGGAATTCTTGGTGTCTGTCAATTCAGGAAGTTAACAATTGATTTTCTGGCTGCTGGATTGAATTTATGCCAGTTTGAAAATAACTACAATTTGTCTTGTTTTAACCATAAACATAAAATAGTGACCAAATAAGTATCTGGTGTCTTTGTGTCCGTCCTAATTCCGCTCACAAAGACTGTCTAAAATCAATTAAAGACGCCTCCAAAACCCATGATTGAACCATCACAAGGTATTTCCTCCTCTACCGCGGCAGATTGTTTTTGCTGAGTCGTCCCTGTGCAGGGAAGTTGTTTACAAACATGGAGGACAAAAATAGAATTATTATCATGTCAGAGCCGACGGTCATATTTCGAGACGTCATAATGCTTGTCTCTGTGTTCTGTGGTTCAAGGTTGGTCTGGGAATGGATGTGAATGGCATCCTTGATCTTTATCTGGACATTTTATGATCGCTGCTCGATGACTTTGACCCTGTCACAGTCAGGACTGTGACCAGTGGACGTTTTTGGTCTCTTCTTTAATGTTTAAGAAACTCCACTACCTAACACCTACCTGCTGTTTTTATGTTATTGATTCATATCTTGGTTATTTCCTCTGCTACTGTGTTGCCTGTTTGGTCCGTGTTTTTCACTAATGTCCACATTGCAAGGGTATCACGTACCCAACGAGTGTGCAGATAAGAAAGTGAGTTCACCAAAGTCTCTTGACCTTTATTCTCAGTTTACCCAGAGACGGCTCTTTAACTGTGTAAACACCTAGTGAGAAATGGGAAGGAAAACCGGAGCCAGGATCTCCTCTGATTGTACCGTCCCTGAATGTCAGCCTGTGCTTAATGCAGAGTGTCATGTCATAAATTATGTACTCTGTGGGAATATTAATTAATGATGGTCTGTGATGAAGATGTAAGCAGCAAATTAATCTTTAAAATCCCTCCTTTAATGCAGCTTAAGAGGCTCAGACTCCATATTGTTGCTTTCTAACTCACTGCTCACTCTGTCAGTACGGGCAGGTGGCAAATTGTGTATGTGTGTGTGTGTTTGTGTGTGTGTGTTTGTGTCTCTTTTACCTCATCGGCTGTGAATAAAGCGAAATCCAACATCTGTTAAATGTACGACTCACCAGCAGAGTGTATTTCTCTGTGTTTTCCAGGCTGTGGAAAAGCTGCACTTTTATATAACCCACTGTGACCTTACACAGGCAGAAAATGCAGTGTCCCTCTTGTGCTAACAAATTACTGTTTACCATATTGAAGCCTGGCTGAGCATCTTCTCCTCCTCTTCACTTTTCCCAGATGATCAAGAGAAATATCAATAATGTGAGAAGGATGACCTCCCATCCTACACTGCCTTACTGTAAGTAGAACTCTCTCTGTGTGCTTAGGAGCCATTTCTTGCTTTTCTTTTTTTTTTTTTCAAATGTGTTACTCAGACATTACATTTGATTTCTTTTTATTAATAAATTATTCTGCAAGTAGTTCTGAGTTTGTATTTTCTCCTGATGATGGTTCAGAAAAGGTTGAATCAGCCGAACAGTCAGCTGCAGCTGCAGAGTGTGTGTTTGTGTCTGTCTGCACTGAAAGATAAGCTGAACTGACTTCTTTCTTCTTCTCTTTCTCAGACCTGACAGGAGCTCAGGATGGCAGCGTGAGGATGTTTGAGTGGGGTCACTCCCAGCAGATCATCTGCTTCAGAAGTCCAGGAAACTCCAGAGTGACCAGGATACGATTCAACTACCAAGGAAACAAGGTTCAAAAGCCCTGCGATACTAAAAGCAGCCTGGCCTGGGCAAAGATAATCAACTAGTTTTAGTTTCCGCTGCAATGTGTGTGTGTCTGTCAGATGTCTCTCTTATAACTTCACCATCCAGACAAGAATCACAGAGGAGTCTTTGGCTCCAGAACACGTTGTTTTTCCAGCCGGGTGATTCAGACACACTAAACTCAGGCAACAGACCTCAGGCTAATATTATTCTGAGACGGTGCCTCTCCTTTGCCTCAGTCTTATCTGCTCCAACCAAGAGTTTAATGTTCTTTGAGAGAGAAAAAAAAAAAGAAAAAAGTTGGACATGCAGAGTTCTTGACTTCACAGTGGTGCAGGCTTCCCACAGTCTCTTAGAAACTCTTACAGGCAATGAATCTCATTATTAATTCCAGACCAAAGTCTGTTTAGTGTTAAGTAAAACTTAGATTTTAACATGTAAAAAATAAAAAAAAAGAAACACTGGTGTGTGATTTTACAGTGACATTCTAATAAATTACAGCAGGAGAAGCAATAAAACGGTGACGGTCACATTCTTAATGTTTTGTGCGCTACAGTCCTGCTGCTCAAAAAAGGAAAAGGAAAATTCAAACAAAATATGTTTTTTTAAACAGGATAATGTTGTCCATCAACAGTGTTTGGTGATGTGTTTAAAACAGTGTGTTATATAGCTGTTCAGACCGAGCAGAGAGAGAAGGTATGGTATTTGGATCTCGTTAGATTGTGTCCTGTGATCAAATTCATAGTGACATTACTCCAGGAAAACACCTGCAGTCGCCCATTTTGCCTTGTCACACCCTGTTGTTTAGATCACAAATGAATGGAGACAGTTGTTGCAGATGTGTAATTCGTTCATCTTTTAAATCTAAGTCCCTTTCAATGCCACGGGACCCAGCAGTCATCAGGCAAGAGTGGGGGACACATTGGACGGTTTGCTCATCCATTTAATTTTAGTGGCATGTTTTTGAACATGCTAGGTATCTAGACCAGTGGTTCTCCAACTTTTTCTACCCTGTACCACCTGAGAAAACCTTGATCTCTCTGAGTTCCACCATGATGACCAACATGAGAATACAGCAGCATAGACCTTCACTGTTAGCTTTCACCACACAGGAGAGATGTTTAGAAATGTTTAGAAAGATGTTTATGTTTAAGTGTTGTATTAATTGTGCATGGTATGTTTCAGATTTATTCAATTGAAAATGGAAATGTAAAAATATTAATTTTCCCCACGTACCACTAGAGAGCGCTCGTGTACCACTGGTGGTATGCGTACCACAGTTTGAGAACCACTGATCTAGAGAAAAGCCACACACAATTTTTTTTCTATGATTTTTATAATAGCTCCAATTTATTTACATCTTTGATCAGCTAAAATAATTATAACCACAGTCTGTTTTATACAGTTTGGTATCGTCGATGCTGATGGAGCTCTGAGTCTCTGGCAGACCAACACCAGTGGAAACGCTCCTAAACCGTACCTGGTGAGGAACCTCAAGGCTGAAACTATTTTTCCTTTTCGTCATTTTATCTGTTGTTGTCTTCATTATCCTTGTCATTGCTACTGTCTCCCTGTCAGACGCTACAGTGCCACAATAAGACGGCTCACGACTTTGTCTTCGTGGGCTCCTCCTCCCTCGTCGCCACTGCAGGTCTTTCCACAGACAACAGGTATTGAATGTTCTGCCTTAAACTCTTACCAGTAATTAAAAGTAAAATCTCATCCATGAAATTTCAAGGTGACCGGGCGGTTAGACACTGTGGTCTTTCATGAAATGGTCAAAAAGATAATAATTTGGTTTATTTTGTTTCTTTTTCTTCCACAGGAACGTATGCCTGTGGGACACCTTGGTGCCTCCAGCCAACAGCCTCGTACATGGTGAGTCAGAGTAAAAAGGAGAAATCTGTTTTTGTACCGAGCTTTTTACAAGTTAGTGTTAGTAGTTTGTTAATAGATTAAAAGTCTGACACAGCTTCCTCCATTTCCTGATTATTGAGATTGGATTTTGTCTTGAATGACTTTTGAACCTTTTGTGAAATTACCTTTTTTCCCGTGTTTTCTTTTTCTGCAATAAATCAACAAATATATTACGGTCTAGCAAATCTCGTCAACCATGACAGACCAATTTTAAAACAGCATTTTGCCTTTATTCGCTTATCTTTTTTTTTTTTTGTTTCCGCTGTCCCTCCACTAGTTTACTTTTTAGTTTACTCTCTTTTCCCCCGTGAGTTATTTCCATCCCATCTCACCCTCTGTTCCTCTGTCTCCTCAGCCTTCTGCTGTCATGAGTCGGGTGCTACTGTGCTCGCTGTGGCCCAGAGGCAGCAGCTGCTTATCACAGGTGGAAGGAAAGGCTGGATCAGTGTCCTCGAGCTCGCTCCCAGGCACCAGCGCAAGAGTTTTCAGGCTCATGACTCACCCATCAAAGCACTGGCTGTTGATGTCATCGAGGATTGTTTTATCAGTGGATCAGCGGAGGGCACCATCAAGGTAATCCGTCTCTGTCGTCTCTGAATTTTGTGTTTTTGTCCACATTTAGTCCAAGAACAATCAGTTTTTTCTCAAGCCAATACAGTGACCCAACATTTATGGCATTCAGAACTGCATTAATTTCATACCAAAGTTTGTGTTAAAAGGGCTGATGTCAAGCCAACCTCATGTAAAGATACACAAAATATAAATCTAAAAGTAAGTGGAATTTGAATGATTTTTTTTTTCTTGCTGACCCACCTTGTTACCACAAATTCCTCCTGTAAGAGTTCCAAGCCCCTCAAGGAGGGCTGGACCCCCATGTTGAAAACAGTCATTTTAGATTTTGACCTGTCTCTAACACTGTCTCTGATAGGAATTAGCATGAAAAAAATGGACAGAATGAATGTTACGTATTATTCCAGATTATATATAAATTATATGACACAGTACTTATAAAAATCTAATCTTAGTCACATATTCCAATCAGGAAAACCACAGTTCCATCTGGAAATCTATAGTCAAGGATTAAACACAAAGTCCAAGTCTTTCAAATCTCTTTTACATTTATTACGTCTTTCAATGTTGTGGAGGGGGGGTTAGCACTTCTTCATAAACGTTATGTGACTCTTAGAAAGATGGGAATTAATGTTGTAGGAGAGCAAATCCAAAAACACACAGTTGTTATCCCCTGAAGCACCTCAGAGTGAGCGGACAGACAACCTTCAGCTGGTGACTTTAAACACTGCAGATTTCTTGATCTTCTCTTCCTAACGGTTTTGGTGCAGATCACACAGCTGTCACTCAGAGGAGGCGCGAGAGATTTATTAGTGCACATCTGCGTAAAATTCAAATTAATTTGACTTTGGGTGAACGCTCTCAGAATAACCTCAAAGCCCTGCGAGATGTTAACTCATCTGTGCTTCATAATTGCACATCAAGCCAATTTAAAAATGCCAAATGAATTTCCTGCAGATTTAGAAGCGTTCACTCTCAGAGTTTGATGGTAGTTTGTGGAGGAGGAAGATTAACTGAAGTATAGAGACTTGAGTTGGTGAAACACCTTATCAAATAATAAAGCTCCCAGGAAGGGACTAAGAATCAAACTATTCAGGAAGTTGAGAGCTAATCGTCGCTCTCTGAGGACCCTCATCTTGTTTTCACGCTCTGTTGGTTTTAAGGCGAATAAACTGAAGATGATAAGGACTGAAGGTGAATCACTGGTTTCCTGCAAAAAGTCCACTTTGTTTTACTGCAGGAGAAATCTGAAGACATAAACCTAACACTTAAACAGATAAAAACGATACTTCAAATATATATATATATATATATGTCTATATATATATATATATATATATATAT